TTCCACTCTTACACTTTAAATTATTTAAATGAACCTACACTTCTGCCACTGGAATTCCCTGTATTGAAGAACACACCCGACGAGTATTTTAGCCTTCAAAAAATTAGAAGTTAATACAAAATGGGGTTGGCGGCAGTCGCCGGTTTTCGCTACTGCCCATCGTTTCCAGCGCGCCGGTGTCAATTAACATGGACGACTCGTTTCGAATATACAGTGGTTGGAAAAAATAATATGAACACTATATTAAAATATAAAATATATATTTATTTAAAACATATATACAAATCTTATTTATTAATAAAGAGTTAGGCCACCGCTTACATTTAGAACAGTTGCAATTCGTCGCGGAATAGATTTATAATACCTAAATAGTTTCCAAATGAATGTTTTCCCATTCATGTACCACAACATCCCAAAATTGCTTCATGATGTTGAAGCTGAAAACGCGCCGCCCTCTGCTCTAAAACAGCCCACACGGTTCTATTGTTAGCGTCTGGCGATTTGTACTGGCCAGGGAAGATGTTTAATGATGTTCTGATGCTCCGCAAACTACTCTTGAACCTCCCCCTTCTTTTTGCTGTGAGTATGGCGCATTACCATCTTAGAACATGGCAATGTTTCGCAACAATATGCTTAGTTACTGTACACACATCATTGTTGAAGATGTGATACTCATTTGCAGTAATCCGGCCAATGGGGGTAAAGAAAGAAAGAACCTAGCTGAATACCACGTTACAGCAGTCCAAACGATAACCGCAACTTCTCCAATACTTGACTGCAGAAGCAGGCAGGATCGTGGGCTTTTTGAGTTTTCCATACATAAACCCGACCGTTTGAAAGAATATAACGATAATTCATTGGGATCACACCATAGTCTCCCGCGTAGTCAAGTGTCCAGTTTTTATTATCGTGACATCACTTCTCAGCTTTACACTGCTTCCATTCAGAAGATTTCGCTATTGCAGTTCTTCCATTAATGTTAGGATTATGAAGCTCACGCCGTATTGTTTTTGTGCGCACAGTATTACGAAGGTTGCCTTTATGTTTCGGAGATTGCGCAACCCTGGTGTTGCAATCTGGTAACTGCCAGCTCTATCATAAAGTTGGATGTTTTGAGGTTATACGTACTCAGAGCGTTTTGATATACGAGCGATTTTTGTGTTGTTTACAGTAACTTAAAAGATTCATCTTGGCCCAAAAATGGAAGTAAATCGTGAACATTTTCGTGCGATTATTTTTAACAACTTTCGACGTACATTAACTCAGCAACAGTGCATGGATGATCTTAATTTAATTTTTGACGAGAAGCTCTATCAAGGACCAGTGTTTATCGATGGTATGGTGAATTCAATCGGGTCGTAGTTCACTCCAAGACGAATTTGCCGAAGGTCGTCCAAAATCAGTTGTTCCGAAAACCATTGATGCTGTGGCGTGAACTGCAAGATCGATATGGCAAGATCGTCATGTGATCTATCGTGAGATTGAGACAACCTAGGCATTAGTGGAACCAGCATACATTCAATGTCATGCACATTTGACTGTCAAAAAAATTTGTTCGCGTTGGATCCCACACAATTTGTCAATCGCTCAAAAAAAGGCTCGTGTCGATTGTCGAAAGAAATGCTAAAAAAAATATGATTGCGGTGCTTCAAAACACGTATATGACAATCGTGACAGGTGATGAATCGTGGATTTAAGCATATGAGCCCGAAAGTAAACAGCAGTCGACTGTATGGGTGTTTCAAGATGAGCCAAAATCCAACAAAAGTTGTTCGCGCACGAATTATTTCCAAACAGATGGTTGCCTGTTTTTTTTTTTTTTTTTTTTTTTTTTTTTTCGGAAAAAACTGGACATGTCGCAACCGAACCACTAGAACAACGCTGTTTGCCAGATGACTTTCCAAAAAATCAGGAAAACCAACCGCCGAAGACTTCACCACGACAATGCGAGCTCTCACACATCGGCTCAAACAACTGCATTTTTGAGCACCCAAAACATCGATTTGATTAGTCATCCGCGTATAGTTCTGACTTGGCCACGAATGACGTCTTTTTATTCCGTACGTAAAAAACAAACTGAGAGGTCAACGTTTTTCGACCACCTGAAGAAGAGGTTGCTGCATTCAGAATACACGTTTTGTGAGATACCTCAATCAGAGTGGCAAAAGTGCTTCGACAATTTTGTTCAAACGCATTGCAAAGTGTATAGATCTTCAATGGGGAATATTTGAAAAAACAATAAAGTTGATTTTCGATGATTAATATTTGTTTTTGTTCTCTTAATTATTATCCTTATATCTCTCCTTGCAGATATAAAAGGCAACCCTCGTACTGAAGTGATTGTTGAGTTCAGTGACTTTTACATTGTCTTGCCAGAATCCTTTTTAATGTTCGCCGATCTCTGAATTACCTTGGTTTTCGCCCACTATTTCTCTTCGCGGATGATAATTCACCATGTTTTGTACAATGCCATTGCCGAACACACTGTCGCTAGTGAAACGTTCCCACAGTTAAATGCATCGAAGGCCTCCCCGCGGTCGTGTGCAAGTCCTCTCGGCGGTCCGGGTGATGCCGCGGTCGAGGGCACTGATTCCGACCATCCCATCGTGATCTTCTTCAGGGCTGGGGTGTGAGAGCTAGGATGGGAGCGCTTGGGTTTTTTATACTATGAGGCTGTGTCGATCTCAGGATTTGGATGGCTGGTTAGCCGGCCAAGTAGGCGGGGACCGGGCAGTGATTGTCGGGAGGAGTGAGATTGGTCGGCCATAGCGGGGTCGGACGGCACGAAACAGATCGGTCGGCGCCCGAGAACCCGAGAACGGACCGGAAAAGAGCAGTCATGAGGGGGGGGGGGGCTGTCTCCCGAGTTCTCCGTTATCTGCAGCATCTATTGCCAAGCACAATGGAGTCGCAACCCCGCGTTCGCCGTTGATGTTGACATCCTCACAAAAATAAATTTTCATAATTTTAAACTGCGAGTAAATCAAACGGCGCTGTGTATTCCACTGTGATATATCCGAAAGACTAGAAAGAGGAGCGCGGGGATATTAAAAAATTGCAAAATTACACGACTAGTCATATTTTTTAAGAAATTTACATGAGCTTTTTAATGTAGATTTCGTTAAACTTAGATACGACGCCGTTTGACCGATCTTCAACGAAAGTTGGCACATCGAGTTTTTCATACGAGAAAGTTTTAATGCTGTTCATTTGTTGGAACTCCACTAGATGGCGCTACAGAGCCCAAGATGGAGCAATCCGTCAAATGCAATTCCCAATCCACATGAGCCTTCAGTGTGTGTTGGGTGTTGCCGTGTGATGCGAGCGAGGTCGAGGACAGGAGGAGCGGTAGAAAGACGAGAGGGAAGAAGACAGAAAGGAGAAGAAAGAGGGAGAGAGAGAGAGAGAGAGAGAGAGGAGCATGGACAGAAAGAGGGAAAAAGAAGGGTAAGAGGGGGGAAAAGAGAAGGGAGGGAGACAGAAGGAGAAGAGGGGGAAATGAGAAGGTGAGGGAGACAACAGAAGGAGAAAGAGGGGGAAAAGAGAAGAGAGGGTGACAGAAGGAGAAAGAGGGGGAAAAGAGAAGGGAGGGTGACAGAAGGAGAAAGAGGGGGAAAAGAGAAGGGAGGGAGTCGGAAGGAGAGAGAGAGAGGGCGAGTCTGAGGGTAGAAGAGAGAGAGGTAAAGAGAGATTGAGCAGTAAGTCTGGTGGGTTCTGCTAGTTTATGTACCTATAAATTATTCCTGCAAACTCTTACCTGTGAAATCTGACCATAGTATTTATTATCTATGTAACATGAATAAGAAAAAACATTGAAAATTATCCAAGAATAAAATTGTCTAATAAAAGAATATATGAAAATGATAATATTCATAGAAAATATGGAATTTTCATAGCACCTTGGAGTAATTACAATTGAAAATTACTTCATTTAACATTTTTAATAATTATTATTACTAATTTTGCCTAATTTGCAAGTAAACAACTAAATAAACACATATGATTTCATCATAAATGCCCATGTTATATCCAGCGCACCACACAGAGAAGTGAGGAATCAGCCTCAAATTGGTTTCACAAACTCGAGAAAAGAAAGCAAGCTGACACATCTATTCGCTTACACTGTGGTTTACCATAATTCAAACAAACCAATTCCTGAAAAGTTGTTAAGGAATGATTTGGTCAAAATTTAGTAAATGTGTTGGGACCACTTAACAAGCTTCTCTGATAATATTTCTGATCATACTCTAGAGATAAACTACCATCTAATTGTCCATCTAGTTTATCTATAGTTACAATATAAAAACCACAAATCTCATGTGTTAATAAAATAATTGATAAATTTCAAGAGACATTTGAACTATATGGAACATTGGTAAAGGGACATTGAAACCTAACTCTGATTTTTCCATGCTTACCAATCTGTTGTTCACTCTGAATGACAGATTTTGCTTCGGGCACAGTACTCTAATTATGACTCACACTGCCATAAGTATAGAAAAGAGAGTGAATGCCATTATGGATGAGGATTACATAACAATGTTATATTTTGTCACTTATTATGAATTCATCTTGGTTTTGATGAAATTCAGTAGCATGCTGCAAGAGATGCCAGGGAAGGAAGGTCTGCAGGAGAGGTCCGATCAGTTTGTGAGTGAAACATTTGATGGTGCACAACTGCTTTAAGACACTGGCAGTGTAGAAGCATATTTCTACAACCAACCAATAAACTCTGCACATCTGCCATTAGATTCCACACAACTCAATGCTACTCTAACAAAGCTACTTTGCCACATTTTCAAAGAAACAAATATACCACGTGCTACACACTTGTTCCGTGCTTACTTGCAGCAACTTAAATTACGTGATAGGGAACAACAATGATTCCTACGGCACTACAAAGCTCTTGCAACACCAACATGGGCAACGTCACAAACAGCGCGAAGCACGTGAGAGTGAGTGTGAGGAGAGTGCTCTGTGGGGGCACTGTGCCCACTCACCTGCTCCTCATCCACCACCTGGGAGCGCATGTTGTGGATGGGGTACGCACCCATTGAAGGCACCCGCGCGCCCGGGGAGTGAGCTCCCTTTTGTGCAGCACCACAAGAGCACCAGCGCATCAGACTCCCCAAAACCCTACCCCAAACACCCGCCACATATACACACACAGACATGCACACACCAGCCTTCCCCACTGACACAAAAGACAGATTTTCATTGCTACAGATTTTGTATAACAGCTCTCGATATCTTACTTATTGCTTATAGATACAATATCAAATATGCTGAGTTTAAGCCATATCTTTTATTACAGCTGTCAGATTTTATCTTAAATCAATCTGCCCAGAAACATCTTAAAAAACTCAATTTCATCTACCTTCTGAGCATGAAATAAAGAGCCAAGGAGAAAATGCATACTATTTGAGCAAGTGAGTTTTTGAAGCAGAAGAATTTCTGATACCTACAAGAGCTGGAGAAAGATACACTTTTGTAGGTCACAAATTAACAGAAAAAAATGGGCAAGTAGGTGAATTTAAATTGCTTGTGCATTTTCATTCTCAAATGTATCTCCAATTGTAAAAAAAATTTCCAGATTTTTGTATTTTTGATTCAGAAACAATAAGTTAATAACACCATATTAATCTCCTGTTGACTATGTGCAAAAGCACAATATCACATATGACAGCCTACCTGTTATATAACTATGTTACAAGAAAATATAGCAAATTACAAAGAATAGAGAAATACCAGAAAACCTGTGGCGGTGAAAGCTGAAAGTAAGTTAATATTTACAATCATGAATAATTTCAATTGGTTCTAAAATTATTTTTATCTGGAACTGTACAGGAAAATGTACAAAATCCTACATTTTGTTACCAATGTTAAGACTTGGGATAGAAGAACATGACAGGTAATAAAATCAATGAATAAATCTACCATAGAGTAGAGACTCTTTTGTTTTCTTGGATCCCTAATCAAAGGAGATTAATTTTGCTGAACTGTCTCACACAAATTTCACTGGTAATGCAACAAAAATATTATTTACTGCAGCTCATTTATAAGAGACCAAAAAGAAGAAAATTATCACGACAGTACAAATCAACAAGAACATAACACACTAAACGTTTACCACAATTATACCACCACCAATTGAACCCCTACTACCTCCACCTCGGACATAAAACATTACATCTCACATTTCATCACAAAAAATTTGCAACAAACAATACATTCAAAATTGAAAAGCTTTCTAAGAAAAGAAATATATGAGAAAATATAGATGACATTATTACTTGCAAAATAATAATAATATTAATAATAATAATAATATTAATAATAATAATAAGAATAATAATAATAATATTTATATAATATTAATAATAATAGTAATAATAATTTTAAAACAATTAAATTTAAAAAAAGATAATTACACCTTCAACTTCACACATCGTTTTCTACACTCGGGCATTGAAGACAAACTTATCAAGTGACAAACAAAGAACTTAATAACAAGACAAGCAAATAATGGTAACCCCTACCTCTCTGATGGTCAGGGTGTGAGACATCATCTGGATGTTGACTTGTGACTGCGATGTAGGGAGATTGTCTGAAGAGCGAGACTTCACCAATTGTCGAGAGGAGCTTTGCATTGTTCGGCTCTTCAGAAGCATTTCTGTCTTCACGAATACCCGACTGATGTAAGCACTGCTTAAAGCACGAATCCCAAATGCAGCCCGTAGTACTTTGGCAGGGGAAACCTTGAAGATAAGTTAAATTCATTTAGATTGGTAAAACATCCCAGTCAAGTCTCGTTCATAAGTACAGACTGAAAGTTTTGGAATTTCTTTTACATTTAACACCTTATAATATGAATGGAAACAAAAACAATATTAAAATAAAATTGTTCTCTTACTGATATCATTACTACTGACTATTTCATAGTATCCTGCATTCGCAACATATTGATTCATCACTGGTTTTACAACAATTACACATGCTTATAATGATAACAAAGATGATCTCTGTAAACAAGAAAAACTTTTTTTATTTATCTATAAAGCTCATCATAGCATGAAAAGTATTCTTTATATCATTAGATGGCATTTAAATATATTTCAAGCATATAATATTACTTTCGTTCAAGATGTAAATTATTTCTTCCTGCCTTTGTTATTCTAAATTGTATGAAATTTCTGCAAACTATTTGGAACTCTTCATAGACTTCCTTCCACGATTTCAAAAGAAAATTTACCCTCATTTAAATTGAAAAATACAGTGCATATTCAAATTCACTGGGTGAGTGTAAAAACAGTACTTGCACAGAAAGGTCATTTTGATATAATTCAAGTAATAACTTTTATTAGGTATAACAAAAAACTGTTGAGATGCAAACAATTTCCTTATTTTAAATATGTTGTACCAAGCCATAATAACATGTTTTGAGCAATAATTGTGACAAATACTTAGAGTGTAATAATTTAAACAAAAACTGTGAACTTGTACTGTTTTACATCTTAATGAAGATTTACAAACCAAATTTTTGTGCAAGACAACAATTAACCACAAAAATACCACATTTTATTGTTTTAAGAGGGCACATAAGTTATATAACTTGGAGTCATTTGATTTTCAAGTTCAAACTTAATGTAGAGCTCATATATTATAACTCCAGCCCGGAAGTTTGGCAAATTGTCTTTTTATTAATGTTATGATTTTATGACTTTTAACATAAGGAATCACTTAATTGCACTTCTGGAGTTGTTCTAGTAGATTTTCATTTTGCCTTTTTTTTGCTTATTTTAGCTTCTGATGCTTATTTTTGGTATTTTGCCCTATTTGTGCATTTTCTGCTCTTTTCACCAGCTGTTTCATAGCTGTAAGCCTGCACATATGAAGGCACAGTGGTCATGTATTGGCTTTATGTGGATGCAGAGATTCCAGTGTCATGTTGTGTTAAACAATACCAGTGATTGTTTTTTATATTTTTCATCGATACTTATAGATTTGTTCACTGACGAGAAATCTCGATTTGTTTGTGTATGGCCTCAGATCCCTTTTGAGAGGTTGTCTGTACATGATATACCCTTCTCATTTCTCACCCCTCTATATCCTTCTGGCAATTACACAAGTGGGAGAATGAAATCTACAATTCCTTTTTCACTGGTATCATTTCAAGACTAAAAAGGGAATCCACAATAGTATTTCATAGGGTAGTAGAATCACAAGTAAAATAAATTCGTAGTTGTCATACCAAACGGTCATGTGAAGTCAAAATCACAAAGAAAATGTAGTTTCCATCTAGGCAAGTGCTAATGTTAATTTTTAGAGTTAGATTAAAAATGTGAATCGTTTTGATTACAATTTTTTAGATTAATTACTTTTAAATAGTGATTTTTAATGTTTCTTGTGTTTTTACCCCCTACTTTGGCCAGAATAATTGTCTTCTTGCATGCATATTTTAGTAAAAATAAATGCCTGAACTTTCGATCCCTAATAATCTTTTCCTTTGCCATGACATTTTTTTGTGTACAGGCTGTTTTGTCATTCAATTCACTCAGCATGAAATTCACAGATTTTGATAAATATTATGCAATTTTTATAAGAAATGTTGCTACTTGTTCTTTTATCTTAACAAGAATTTGTACTTGATAGCATGACATCGGTTATTTTGCTTTTCTTTGCGCCTTTTGGATAGAGATTTGACAGAAGAATTTCTATTGTTGTTGTTGAACCTGAATGTGTTATATTCCGTTTAAGCTTGTGAATGCTTGTTTATAAACTTTACTCTGGACACAGTCCTTCAATGCAAAATGACGAAAATTACTGATTCTTTGCTTACTGTGCCCCTTATCTCTCGCTCTTTGAAGCAATTGCAAGCACACTCTTGATCAGTAACAAAACAAGTATACTACACCAGTCTCATACCACTAGCAAATAACAAATGTGAACTATCTGCTGTGAGAATCCTGAATTGCCAGATGTCTGAAATCCTGAGTTGAGGAGCAGTACATGTCCAGGTCAGATACTGGTACTTCACTCATCAAAGAGAAGGAGCTGCCTGATATGAAGTCAAATGACCTCATATTTTTTTCAGTTACAACATGCAGTTCTATGCCTTCTGCACTAATTTCTATAAAAAAAACAATGAATGTGACCAATTTTAGTCTAGCACTGTTTTTCCACTCACCCATTCAATTGTATTTAGGCCTATGTCTAACTCATTTCAGGATTCAATTACTGAAACAATACTCACAGGCATTTCTCTGCAAAACTTTGATAGTGCAGAGTCTATTCCATTGTGGTGGATTTCCTTCATCCATTCAGAGCTCTGTGAAGCAGAGTGTTTGTGGAAAAGCACCAAAATTGCCATAGTTACTCTGTAGAGAACCTTAATACCTTCATTGAAGAAACAGTCCATCACACGTACCTATGAAAGAAACATCGATTAGTGTGTCTATATCCTTTGCTGTCAACAACTAGCCTCTTTTATAAAGTCTATAAAATAATTCAGACTCAACACAATGATTAGTCTCTTCTTCACAAAATTTGTGTTGCTCCTTTTCTCCTCACCCCAGATGCAACACCATCACTCACACATGCACGCACGCACGCACGCACACACACTTCAACACCAAAGAGAACTGGGATTTATTTCATTTCTAATCTATTATTACACATTCCACTAGACGTTTTGTCACATCTAACAGAAACACAATGAAGATTATTTATTGTGACATAATAAATATGTGAATGGTTCAATCAGATTGAAAAAAATGCATGAGTACAAAAAACATAAGGAATAAATTAATTGAAAATAATAACGTTCGAAATTAAAGAATATTTACAAGAAAAAGATATGTGTGGCAAAACACTACAGAACTACAAAATTAATCAATTGTTATAAAAAAAAGGAACAAGATTTGCATCAATGCATTTAAAAATTGAGGCCTTTGATATCACTGAGGAACCTTGAAATTTGCCGCAACTTAAAAGCACATTATAATCGTAGATTTTATTGTCCTGAATGCGGAAACGAACTTCAATCAAAAGCATCAAGTAACGTTTTCCTCATTTTCTGAAGTTTCGAGATTGAACGTTGAGCGTGGTAGGGGAATTGCGCCGGTTTCCTCCGACTCGGCGCTCGGTATTGCTGCGACATAACGCACAAGCAGGTCACTGCTCTATAATAATCATTAGAGGTACACATTTGTTTATTTTTGCCTTTCAAGGGTTCGAGAGGCGTGGAAGGGTAAGAGTTATGACGTCAAGGTTAGGCTGTTGGCTCACTTTATCACAGTCCTGTTCCGTGATGACTCTGGCGTTCAGGTCACGCTCTTAGTGGAGTTTCTTCTGTAAGATCATTATGCTAAAAAACGTGATATTTTTCCAGTACGTCTTTACATGTAGATTAAATTTACCGATTTTCAATCAGCGGCAGAGGCAAGAAAAATATATATTTTGTTCCTCAGTGAAATTGAATTCGAACGGTAAAGCAACCAAGAAATACACATACGAGGTGATTGAAAGGTAGGTCTTGCAAGATCCACCACAGCCAGTCCGCATAAATGCGCTCAGCGCGTGCGCTGGGGCAATGCCGAGCCAGGTGCACCGCTGCCGATTTCACGTGCTTCTTAGTGATTTGCATGACAGTTCGCCATGTCACCTCATACAGCTGCTTCGTTTGTGTGATGAAAATGCGGTCTTTGGCAGACACGAGGCAAGTGATGCAGTGATAGCACTCCTCCTCTGAAACACAAATTACACAAATTAAATTCCCTCATTCACGTAGGTACTCAAGATTTTCAAATTATATATATATATATATATATAGAGAGAGAGAGAGAGAGAGAAAGAGAAAGAGAGAGAGAGAGAGAGAGAGAGAGATATCGCAGAAACTAATGATGATACCGTCAGAAGCAGAAACACAAATCATGAAATTACTGTTTACAATAAACTATAGTTATATTGTCCAATTCTATTAATCATCACATATTTGTGTTCTGCTATGGTATGCTTATGTTGCGACTTACATTTATTAATATCTATTTTCAATAATTTATTGTAATTTCTTTATATAATTACAGTATAATTACGTTATTTTCAATAATGTTTCAGGAAATGTGAACGAACACTTAAGGAACTGTACAGATATTCTAATATAATTTTTTAATAAGTTTTCTTATTTTGTAGCACGATGGAAACAAATTTCCCCGCACTATCGTCTCATTTCTCTCCATAAAAAAGCAATGAGACAGCTCCGCTAAGGGAGTGGGATTTCCGTAAGGATTTGAAACGTGAAGTGTCAGTGAAAGATTAGTGTTCTGAGACCGACACTGTCTAAACAAACGATATGGCGATGGATGGAAGGCCATGAGCAAAGGCCGCGCTGCTGCAACTCCACCACGTCCACCCCCACAGCCCCATTCTCTCTCTAGTGACAGAAATGCACATTTAATCCATACGCAAACTAGCAAGTACATTTAGGAAATTTTAAATAAATTCTAGACAACGCATTTCTAGGATTTATAAAAACTAGTGGCCTCTCAGTGGTTGAAATTCTCCCTCAGAAGGAACTTGTGACGGTTTTCATAACATTGTTGTACTTTTTTGAATTCAGTTTAAGTGCCTTTAAGTGTTTGCTTTAGATGCATCCAACTGAGGAAGCTGGAATCCTGTTTTAAATATGCAAAATTTGGAGTTGATAATTCCACTACGCTCAGTATAAACAGGCATATATCTTCGTTCATAAATGAAGTTTCGAAATATTGTAATTTTGAAAGACTCCCTAACATTCTTGATGACCTTCTTGAAAAATGGTTGTAGGTGGCATTTGTAAGTTAATAGCATGTACTGATTCACTCTAATAAATGAAAATTTCTGAGAAGCTGATGCTATGTCATACCATGCTTTTGGAACACAAACATTCCCTTATCTGATTTTGTCCATTTGAAAAGTCCCGATCACAGAATATAAATGAATACCCAAGAATACGAAAGTGATGATGAATTTGAAAAAAAATGTCCGATGAGCTTAAAAATTGGGCCATTGGGATCTTCCTATTTTGCGCGGCCCAGTTGTCACAAAAGAGATGTAGTGTTTTAACATTTTGAGGCATGTATGTCTATATAAAGTATAAGATTGATTGATGCAAATTCATTTGAACCATTCATTTCTTTAGTTTCGTCGTACTATGTTCATTTTATGACATTCGGTCTTACATGACTAGAAACGCATTCCTGGCGCAAGTAAAAGTTTTCCTTTTTTGGTGCATTTCTTTAACATTGCTATTCATTATTCGTCCAGGACCAGCTCAGGTCTGAGTGCAAGTAGCAGATAACTCTGGCTTTTATCCGATTCTTGCACCCAGAGAGCACGAAGTACAATTTCATCACCGTTTCTTCAAGGAATTAAGAACTTACAGTCAAACATGACTGTCTGCTGATAGAGGACAGGACGGGTTTCGTGTATACGCGAAAATATAATTTTCGCAAAAAGTGGTCATTATCTGGTTCTTGGACTCAGGTCTTCAATTATTACAATTTTTTTTAAAAAAATGTTCTATTACATCATCTTCGAGCGTGTACAAATACGTCATTAGGATGTGTTGATTGCCATTATTACCTGCAATACCTATGACATTTGAAAACCTATGAAACGGGGAACACGGCTTCTCGCTCCTCCCGCACGGCTGAGAAACGGAAACGGTCTCATAACCTCAAGCACCAAGAGAGCAAAGTCCTTCTCAGATCAAATATACCGACACCAGTACCCTTTGTTTATGTGTAAAGTTAAGAGAAACTAGAGGTGTACAACAGCACTGCACTCGCATTATTGGAAATAGTTAAACAATACTGAAATATTGTATTTTCTTACTTACTAAAAACTCAGTTATACCTTTAAAAAAGTCCAATTCAAGGCTCACAAGACATAAACAAAGCTCACAAGAATAAACAAATCTATACCATTCTGAACACGCAGAGCACAATTTAAAATGGTAATAAGAGATTTTAATGCAAAATTACGTAAAAAGAATACGCAGAGAAAAACATGAAAACTGCAAAAACTTTCTTCGAAGGAAAACGAAACAGAAAATGGAGATGGTTTCTCATTGCGAGAAAATTAACTACTGGTCTTGCAAAATGGTTCAGACTTTCTCGTACAACTTCGTTTCCTATTCTCTTGCGTCAGGGGGTAGCATTTCGATTTTGCCGCATACCCTTCTCGGCTGCTATCTATTGGCGCCTGAAAGACATTCTTTTACATTTTCCCAATTTTAGAATTGATATATGAAAGCCCCCCAGAGCCGGAAGCAGCTGCCTTTAGTTCAAAAATCCCTTTTTACAGCCTCCCTCCACAGGTTCCGAATGGAAGATGCCCCGTAATCCTGTATGCGAACTCGTTATCGGCGACGCCGAGCATGTGTTTTTCCGTACCTATGTTTTCACCTTCAACGACTGATGATTGGGATGAATGTGACGATGATTGGGATAGGCCAGACGACTCCCAAAAGCGAAGTTGCTTATGTGCTTGCCTTGAAATCAGTTGGAGTTGTGTGTGTGGGTGTGATTTTCACAAATGGTACTGCTGGATAACTAGAGAAAGAATAGAGAGAAATTAATTCCAGTCGACTATTACACCAAGATAGAATGGAAATGTCACGTGACTCAGTCACTATTGTACTCCCTGTGAAGTAAAGCCTGCAGGCGGTTCCGCGAGGTTGGAGAAGAAGAGGTTTGGTTTTAGTGAGTAAAAATCTCGCACGCTTGGTGGTACAGGCTACTCAATGTCTTTTGAAAAATTCCACGAGCACACAGACAAACGCAGCGCGGCCCTCAGCTACTGGTGTGTAAATCCCGCCCCCGCCGCGCCGTCTGTTTGCTCCAGCGCCTGCGCAGATAAGCCTGTTTGCTCGCGAGGACACGGGCGAAGCACCGCCGTCGAGCAGATACGACCGATTCCTACGCGCGGCTGGCCGCACCCAGCGACTCCAGGCCACGCTCCTTTTCCACATTACTTTTCGTTAGCATGGCCATAATTTTTAGAAATAACGCGAAGCCAGTTTTGGCGATTTTTTTTCTCTCTAAACATTTAGTGAGAAAATGTTAATGTCCAAGTACAAATATTTACCTAACAAATTACTGTCGTTCATTCGTTCATAATGAATAGAGGAAAGTGGTCTTTCTTACAAAGGAACCTCCAAAGAGGAAATGTTATAATATTTCTGTTGCACTTCAGTTAACTATATGAAGCATCGATTTTGATGGATTATATTTGGCACTCCTGGCTCCCGAAGTGCCGTTTAGGATCGTCAGAAGCGCGGAATGGTTTCCTTGTTAGCTTATGTTGTTTCGTCATATTTCAGGAAAGCTCGCTTGCATAGTCCCCTAAGATTGTCTATAATTGAATTGTCCTGAATTGTTGGTCATGACACAAAATTTATTTTAATCATACTATCTTAGTTTGTAAGAAGCATCTGAAATAACCATTTACTAGCATCTTCAACAGGATAAATTGTTGTAGAATACACTATTCATAACCGTTCCAATTTATACACACCAACTCGTATTTTTCTTTCCAAGACACTTACAATGATTTAGATTTATTTAGTAAAAAAAACTCTATGTGATGAATGGGGGAGAAGATCATCTGCGCACGTTTTCTTGAGTTCCAGAATCCCTTCCTATCATTTTAACTATAAATAGTTAAAAGCTGAGTAAACGTAAAGATAATTAAATAAATAAAAATATAATTAAAAAAACCGCGAGTTTAGCAACGTTTGAAAAACTAGACATTTTCGTTCCCGAGTTATAGAAAACTTATTTGCAACCGTAAACGAACTGCATATTAGATTTTTCTGCATTGCTAACAAAATAGTAACTCGCCCTTACCTCAACTCCTACCACTACAAGCAAAAAGAGAGTTCAACAAAATATGCGCATAATGAAGCTACATTTACGTCCAGAAGCAAGGGGTCATCTCCGCTTTTGCTTAGCGTATCAGGGTAACTGGATAAAAACCTGAGCGAGATAAGGGTCATTAAAAATCTTGAAGTTCATTTTTTGTTTCAAGGATATTAAGTCTTTTAAAAAAAATACTTTACAAATGTAAACTAATTAACTATATATCACCGTTTTGTTAAAATAAACATCATTTTTCTTTGTGATGATTGTGGGCGAGAGTTTTATGTTGGTCCACCGCTTCTTAGAAGATATATTGGTCCTCCTCAGCCAAAAAGTCAACCGCTCAAGTGAACCAACCATGGGCAAGGCGCAAACTGGGACCTTAACCAAGACGCCAAATGCAAACCGTTTTCAACATAAGTGGGGGCGACATTCAATTAACAAATGGGTAACACTGAAATGCTGTTCGAAGTAATCAATACGGAAAGGATTTTGAGGCACAAATTATGGTCGTATAAGTGGGGGGAGGGAAAGGTTCTGAAAATACATTTAAAAAAATCAAAAAAAAAAAAGGTGCAGCTGAAAAAACTGTTTTAAGGTTTATACTAGTTACATAAACTCGATTTCTAGAATACACGAATATACGTTTATACGAAAATCATTTTTCTCCAAAGTTTCTTCTTAATAGAGTCCGTTAGAGGTGATTCATAGTACTTTATCCAACACTAGTGGATAGAAAACTGTTAAACAATTGCCAGTACTCAGTCCTTAGGTCACAGACAAGTGGATTTTTGCACACCCAATTAAATGTGATTTGCCTGTCTGGGCAGAAGTTTAAATCCAGCAGGA